AGAGAGAGAGAGAGAGAGAGAGTTTTGTTAAAATATTATTTTATTATTATTTTACTTTATTTGTTTATTTTAAATACTTTAAAAGATTAAAAATTAAAGAGGATGTACCATGGGTATTTTTGGTAGTTAAATAGGGTGTACTTAGTTAATTTTACATTTTAATTTAAACATTAGGGTGTATTTAGATCGTAGGGTGTACTCAGTTAATTTTAGGGTTCGTTTAGCAACACTCTAAAATATAATGACAGAGTGTACAACTTCATTTTATTAAGTAACAAATAGAAAAAATAAAATAAAATGGTTAGCGGTATTTTATGAATTGAAAAAGTACAATAAATTTGCTTGAGTAACAAATAAGACAAGATAAAATATAATGACATAGTACAACTTCATTTTATTAAGTAACAAATAGAAAAAATAAAATAAAATGCTCTCATTGAGAGTTGAACTCAAGACCTCCCGCTTACTAAACGGGTGCTCTAACCAACTGAGCTATGAGAGCTTATCGGTTGTTCTCAAACGATAAATCATTTTTATTCTGTTACTTCGTTATCCTCTACAGTGCCGAACAATGTTTGGCATAGGAATTACCACAGTCGATCTCTTTCCTTACCTCCTTATGAAGCCTCTCCACGTACTCAACAGGCTTTGAAACCAAAGCCAAAACCCCTTCAACACCCTCCTCATTTTTGTGCCCAACAACTGAAGAGAAGCCTCGTGGTGGACTGAGGGCTCATTAGGGTTCTAGTCCTTGCCCTCCACAGACACCCCGCTATTGCATGGAAGGCGGGGCTTTTCTGGGAGTAAGTTTGGTTCTTCAGAGATGATATGTCGGCCTGAGAGAGGAAGACTGAAGTTTGAGCAAGAGACTTGAAGTCAGTTTCGGTGTAGGCAGCGGTAGGATCTTCAGGATCATGATGGGATGATGATGTGACGTCATATTCATGGTGGGGGTAGGAGATGGTGGGAGGTGACCTTGGGTGGAGGGCTTGTCTTCTCCAAGCTGGTAACAATGAAGGAGCTGCTTGAGTTGGGTTTAAGCAGAATTCTGAAATGGCTTTTATCAAGATGTAGGCGCCATAGGCATCACAGATGCAGTGGTTCAATGTGTATGCCAAGACAAAGCCTCCACATGCAAGTCTTGTGACCTGCAAAAGTTTGATGACACAATTAATTAATTTTAACAAAAAAGAAGTGATCCAATTTGGAGCCAACTGTTTTTTCTCATCATCAGCAAGCGTATTACAGCAGCAAAACCAACTAAAAGGTGTTTGATCATTTCAAGTTAATGAAATGCATAGCTCTGGTTAGTTAAGGTAAAGAATCCAACGCATCTACCCTTCCCTTCACTTTCAAGTTATCAAATTCTTTTTTTTTAATTAATTCAGGTATGAATTACATCTTGAATCATATCTTAATAGAAGTGAGGCCTGTCGTAAATGGGATCTTTATGACTTCGCTCATTAATAATTGAATGGAAAAACTGGTCTAGTCGTATATTTTGTCTCTTTTCAATGTTGAAAGATGTCCTAAATTCGAATCCTTCTGTCACAAAGGGAAACAACTCATTATTGCGTCGTCTTTAAAGATATTCGTCAACCGGTGACTTTTCCTGCCTACTCCTAAAAGAATTTGAATTGTGAAAATACATATATATAATATTTAGAATACTCAGCTAATTAAATAGATGGTTAAAGTTTTAATCAATTGATTACGTGGTCAATGGAGTCTGAATAGTCATCACAAACCTGCATGCGAAGCAAAGGTGAATCAGTGATAAGAACACTTCCCCACAAATCATCCACAAGCAAACTCTCCCATTGAGGAAATGGTGGCTTCAGTCCACCATCAGCTTCACGCAGTTGTGCCAATTTGATATCAGCATTGCCTTCACGAAAAATCACTCCCTCACCACAACAGTCCACAACGAGCTTGCCCTTATCAGCATGCCGGAGCCGCCCGGCCACGGGGTAGTAGTAAACAAGAGCCCTGGCCAAGGCCTGTTTTATCATCCCAACTGGGTCTTGATCATGAGTATATGATGAGGCTGTGCTTGGGGGATAGAAATGCACAAAAGGTATGTGGTTTCTTAGGCCTTTTTGGTCATCAATGTTGGACAAATATTTGAATTCTCTTGGGGTTGGTTTCTCTGGTCGAATCAGTTCTGGTCTGCTGACTTGCACAGTGAATTTGAGCATTGGTGCCATTGTTTGATGATCTGCAGTGGCCTGTTTATAGAATGGTTTGGACTGGAGGGAATGAGGCAATGGAGCTTCTTTATATAGTGCATATGAGAAGTGTAGCTCCTCATGCTAGTCATTTCAAACGGTTAGCTGATGTGAAATTATTGCAAGCGCACAATTCGCACAAGTAATACAGTTATAAGTGAAGTGTCGTTCCCATGAAGAGTGATTTAATTTACTAAGCCGATTGTGATTAACCCAAGACTTTATTTGAACAATTGAATGATGAGATTTGATTGATTAATTAACTAAAACAATGAATAAAAGCAAGCGTAGAAAAATAAAGTAGTGAGATTCAAGTTATAAGAGAACTAGAGCTTCCGATTTCACCATAGTCAATTCTACCCAATTCCCTTAGCATGTTAATCCTAATTATTCTCTATGTTGACAGTCGATTTTCCCTATTTTATTCGATACTAACTGCCATGACAAGTAAAGGCAAATAATATTCACATGACAAGTAAAGGCAAACAATATTCACATGAGATATAAGGAGATAAATTTGTATGTAGTTTTGGTGTGGGAAGTGAAGAACATGGCTAGGAATTTATAAAAAAAAATTCTGAATTTTTTGGTTTTTTTTATAAAAAAATTTGGGTATTTAAATTAGTCGTTGATGTCATGCTGATATCAGCAAACCTAGGCAGCAGCTCAGGCAAATCTTGCCTTTGGGCTTGCCCAGGCTGATGGAGCCCACTCCTTGCCTGAGCTGGCCTTCATTGTTGGAGTTGGGTTTTGGGGACTAGGGGGCCTTCTGCCCGTGCTGGCCTGCACGGGTTGAAGTGCTCTAAGGCCCTCACTATAGAATTCTTGATATATATATATATATACTTTTAGAATGAATTCTTGATATTAGGTGTACTAGAATGACATAAATTTCTTGTAAAAGATGAGCTCTACCCTAACACGCATAAACAAAAATTAATAATAATAAAAAACATAACAAAAAATAGAAATTAATTAAAATAATTATGAAAAGTGATGCTCATTTCTCAGAAAATTGTTCATCGTACTAAAAATTTTGACGTGGCATGCTTCTACTAATATATAGTTCTTGTAGTTGCAACTTCTCTATCCCACCCAAACTAACCTAATCTTTCTTTTTCTTTTTCTTTTTTTGGTAATGCAACTAACATGATGAGAAAGAATAAGTATTGCTAGGAGACTATTGCGTGGAAGTTTTATAATAGCTGACTTCTGGTGAGATCAAGAAACTCTCTAGTTTCATTTTTGTGAAATTATTTTTGTCTCAACGATAAGGTGTGGTGTGGTTGACAAACTGAAACCTCTAGCTGGCGAGCTACCTAGTGCTTAAATAGCAGGGGTTTGAAACCCGTTGGAAGCACTTTGTGACCAGGGGCAAGCCGAACCCCGAACGGAGATTAATCCCACCCTTTGAGTGTGGGGACACCTCGTGGTATTTTTTTTAATTTTAAAAAAACATGTTTTGTGTGTCTGTGAGCAGGGACAAATCCAAGATTTCAAAACTTAGTGGGCTAAATTTACCTTACGTACGCAGGAAATTTCAATAGTGAGAGTCATATCGCACCAAGTTGGACTTTACAATGTAGAATAAAAAAGGAAAAACAAAGGAAAAAAACAAGAGAAAACAAAAAAAATTGTGGTTTCCTCATGGTGAGAGCTAATAAACTCATGGGGTCATGACTCATGAATTGTGGTTTCCTCGATGGCCTTTCTTAGTTCCTCACAAATCTCAATTAGTTGTAACATCTGGCGCAAAGAACGATAATATATGTACTGACAAGACATGAACAAGAGGGATATAGCTCGTTATATCTTCTTTTGTATATCTCTCTTCTCATGTGTCTATCTCTCTCCTCACATGATATATCACGTGAGAAGAGTGATAGACACAAAAAGATATACACCACATTGCAAATAACTTAAAAAAAGAGAAGAAATAGCCTAAAAATGGCCATACATATGTGCAATTTCACAAGAGAATTTGTTGGTCATTATTTTGATGATAGAGTTGATTGAACTTTCAAAATTGAGGCAAGATTTTTTATTCGTGTTACTTCCAAATACATAGTCCCCCCATAATATACTAGACAATTTCATAAAAAGATAATTTCCTTATCAATCACTTGTTAAAATGAAACTTTAGCATCACTCTTCAATGAATATGAATTGTAAATCTTTCACCACAGAAATTTTGTGTTCAAACCACTATATTTGGTAATGTGTCATACAATCTGATAAGAAAAAAAACAAAGAAAAAAAAAACTTCAGCAAATTTCTGTTTGGACTTTTATTTTGTTGGGCCGAGGTAAGTAACAGAAAAAAGGTATTTTTTTTGCTTTGTTTTTTTGTTCTATACTTTCTCTTTTGTTGTACAATAGTGGGGCCCAAGGCCCGAACAACATACAACTAACTCGAATTATAGAAGAAGTATTAAATGCCCATACAATTCTGGCGTGGTGGATTCCCTTTTGTCTGAGCGGCAGGCATATTAGGTGGAGTCATTCTATATTGATGGCTTTATATATATATCCTTTAGGAGAGGTTTTATATCTTAATTGTTGGATTAGATTAATTAATTTGATTTAATAGTTAAGAGATAGAGCCTCGTCTAAAGGTCATATATAAGAGCATTTCCACCCATGGTATCATGGCAAAAGGGCAAGGGCAAGGGCAAGTAAGGGCAGACACTATTCATATAAATAGTTACTGGCCTACCCATTGCCATGACAAGTAGGCAAACAATATTCACATGAGATATAAGGAGATAAATTTGTATGTAGTTTTGGTGTGGGAAGTGAAAAACATGGCTAGGTATTTATAAAAAAAATTCTGAATTTTTTGGTTTTTTTTTTTAAAAAATTTGGGTATTTAAATTAGTCATTGATGTCATACTGACATCAGCAAACTTAGGCAGCAGTCCAGGCAAATCTTGCCTTTGGGCTTGCCTAGGCTAATGGAGCCCACTCCTTGCTCGAGCTGGCCTTCACTGTTGGAGTTGGGTTTTGGGGACTAGGGGGCCTTCTGCCCGTGCTGGCCTGCATGGGTGGAAGTGCTCTAAGGCCCTTGTTAAGCTCATAATTTCATACATATACATGCCCTATTTACTTACTTCTTTTGCTTAGTTTCCTAGACTTCTAAGTTATTTGCCTTCCTTTGTGTGTTTTGTAGGCAAATAGAGCAAGAGAGCATAATTCATGCAATTCAAGCATGTTAAGGCCTAATTTGGATGAAGGGAAGAAGAGCTTAAAGACAAACTCAATTTTGGCTACAGCCCCCTGCCAGTCCAGTTTCGTAGGTCATATTGCAAGCTTTGTTTCAGCAACCTACATAGCTCGAATGAGGCCACATTCTTCATGAAAGTTGTTCCAATTGGTGTGTACTATAACATATCCAAAATTCAGCCCCATTGGATAAATCTGGAGTCCGTTACCTAGCAAACACAGAACCATGCTCAGGATGGATCTTATCAGCGCGGAAAATGAGTTAGCAATTTGTTTCGGCCTTAACTTCCTCCTCCGACC